CGTGCTCGCTTCGGCAGCACATATACATTGATCTGTGTGTCCTTCCACTCTTACAGCACAATATTGGTCTTTGTAGCTACACAATAAGTATTGAAATTGGATAAAGTATTTCTCTTCATTTTGTTCTTTTTCAAAATGTTTCAGTTATTCTTTGCCATTTCGTATAGATTTTTGAATGAGTTTATTTATATCTCAGAAAAAAGTCCTACTGGGATTTTGATAGGAATTACTTTAAATCTATATGTCCATTTAAAGAGAATTGGCATCATTATGATAATGAGTCAACCCATAATATGATACACCTCTCTACTTGTTAAGATCTTCTTTGACTTATTTCATCACTGTTTTTGTTTGCTTTATTTTCATCACTGTTTTGTAGCTTCAGTGTCTTGTTCATTTATACTGACGTATTTTTGTTGTTTTTCTTACTTAAAATGGTATTGTATTTTTAATTTTGGCATCCATGTGTCATTGATAGAATATAGAAATATACTTGTTGAGTTTCTGAAAAGTTGCAAAACTCTTACTAGTTCTAGGAATTATTTGCAGATTCCTTGAGATTTTTTAAATAAGCAATTATGAAATGTTTTATTTCCTCTTTTCTGATGTGTATTCTTTTCTTTCCTTTTCTCCCCCACTGCACTGGCTAGAACTTTTGGTATTATGTTGAGTAAAAGGAGGAAAGAGGAAATCCTTGCCTTGCTTCCATTTTAAATGGAAAATATTCATTCTTTCACCATTAATTATGTTAGTTGTAGAATTTTTATAGGCATTCTTTATCAGGTTGAGAAAGTTTTATATTTCTCATTTTCTACATTTTTCATTATAATGGATAGTGAATTTTATCAAACGGTTCTTCTATGTCAATTGATATAATTATATGATTTTTATTTTTTAGCTTTAACTTGGTGGAGGTGGTTTTTAAAAAAATGTTGAGCAAGGCTTACCTCCCTGGAGTTAACCCCACTTAGTCATATGTATTGTCTTTTTATATTGTTGAATTCCATTTGCTGATATTGTGTTTTAAGGGGTTTTGTGTTCATATTCTGTTGTTGTTTTGAGACAGGGTCTGGCTGTGTAGCTCAGGCTGGCCTTTAACTTGAGATGATCCTCCTGCCTAACTGCTGGGATGATAGGGGTGTGCCACCATGCCTGGCTTGTCCATAGTCTTAATGTATTTTGGTCTACAGCTTTTACTATCATTGGTCTAATATTAAAGTAATACTGGATTTATAAAATGAACTTGGAAGTGTTTCCTTCTTCTACATTCTAGAAGAGGATGTGCAGAATTGGTGCTAATACTTTTCTCCAGTGAAAGTATCTGGAGCTGTAGATATTACTTTTGGGAGTTTTAAGATTAGAAATTTATTTTCCTCAATAGTTTTTAAGGTAACTTACTCATTTTTATCTCTTTAACAAAATGCTTGAAATATAAACTTACAAAGAGAAAAGCTTATTTTGGATGTTCCAGTCTGATTGGCCCTTTTATTTTGAGCTTGTAACAAGGTAATACATCATGGTGGGAAGAGCTGGTGAAGCAAAATTGCTTGCTAAGAGTTAGTAGGGGACTGAGGTTCCACAGTCTTCATCAGGAGGAGCCCCCAGTGAAGTAAGTACTCCAATGACCTAGGTAGGCCTCTCCTTGTGAAGGCTCCACCACCTCCCACTAGTACCACCCTTGGGACCAACCCTTAACATGGGCCTTTGAGAGACTGTCAGCATCCAAACTATAGCATACGACTATTCACATAATGCTGTCTATTCAGTGAACCATAATAGTTTATTCTTTTTAAGAAATTAGTTCATCTAAGTTGTAATAATGTATGTGTATAGAGTTTTTCATAGTAGCCCTGTACTAGCCTTATGATGTCTACAGGGTCTGTAATGATATCTTCATTCTTGATATTGGTAATTTATAGCTTCATTTTTTGTCAGTCCACTCATGAATCATTTTGAAAGACCACTCTTTGTTGCCTTGCTTTATCGGTTTTTCTGTTTTTAAATGTTTTGATTATTGATTTGAGGCTTTTCTTCTAATATAAGCTTTAAAGAGTATACAGTTCCTTTTCAGTGCTACTTAAGCTGTTTCTCACAAATTTTGGCATGTTAAACTTTCATTTTCATTTTATTTTTAAATACTTTTGAGACTTCCTTTTTGATCCATGTATTGCTTAGAAATATATTGTTTTATTTCCAAGTGTTCATAAATTTTCATTTTACCTGTTACTGATTTCTAGTTTGATTCCACTGTGATCAAAGTAAATATTCTGTATGATTTTTTTTCTTTTGAATTTGTCAAGATTTGTTAACAAATGTGGTCTCTCGTAACATGTTTATGGCACCTAAGAAGGGTATGTACTCTGCTGTTGTTGGATTCTCTCTGGTTGTGCTATCAAATGTTGACAGAGGAATATTAAAAATCTCGAACTCTAATTGTGGACTTGTTGATACTTTTTTCCGTTTGGTTTTATAATTTTTTTCTTTGTGTGTTTCTTTTTAATCTATGTTGTTTGTTAAGTACACATTTAGGACTTAGAACATTGCTATATGTTCTGAGTGGATTGACCTTTTATCATTATGTAATCTCCTTCTGAGTCTGTCATTTTCTTCGCTCCAAATCCTAGATAATATAGTGTTAATATTGCTCCTTCATCTTTTGATTAATATTTGCTGATATAACTTTTTCCAACATTTTACTTTTATCCTATCTCTCTATATTCAAAGTGAATTTCTTAGGGACAGCATACAGATGGATCATATTTTTAATACACTCTGTCAATCTCTGTCTTATAATTGGTTTATTGAGACCATTTACATTTAATATAATTATTGATATGTTAGGACTTAGGTCTGGTTTTGTTTTGGTTTGATTTGGTTTTATTGAGACACAGTCTCACTGTGTAGTCCAGGCTGGCCTTGAACTAGCTATATAGCTGAGGTGGTCTTGAACTCATGGCAATCCTCCTGCCTCAGCCTCCCAAGTGCTTCCATTATGGGCATGCACTACTATGCCTCGCTAAGTCTACCTTTTTACCTTTTGTTTTCTGCTTATTCTTTTCCTGCCATTCTGTCTCTACATTCATTGATTTTTTTTTTTTCTGTGACCTCCTCCAAACTGATATGGAGCCTACCCGTGATATATTTTCTATCAGTTCTGAAACATTCACTTTTAAGAAACATTCAATTTGTTTTCATTTCTTTGCTGAAGCTATCTTTTTTCATTTGTCTCGAGTTCATTCATAATTGCTCAGTGAAATATCTTTATAGTAGCTGCTTTAGCACCTTTGTCTGATAATCCTAGCATGTATGTATGTTGTTTCAGTAGTGCCATCTATTACATGCCTCTTTTCCTTGAGGTTGAGATTTTTTTCCTGACTCTTACAAACAAATAATTTTAGATAACAAGTGATTTTAGGTAAAAACCTGGACATTTGGGGTGTTATATTATGAGATTCGGGTCTTATTTAGACCGGTTTTAGGTAGTGTCATCTGACATTATGTAGGAGAAGATGGCGTCAGGATGTCACTGTCAGGTAGAGGTAGAAAGTCATGTTCTGTGTTTGATACTTAAGAGAGAAAAGGACATTCCTGCTGAACAGGGGTCTGCATTCCTGCTGAGTCTCCAGTGATGATACCCTGGCTGAGAGAGCCGCGAGTGTCTTGCTGCTGCCACTCAGGTGGCTGCTCCTGACAGCACTGGCAGTGGTGACAGTCCTAGCTTTCTGGGATTTCTTTGGCACCACCGGAGGTTATTACTGTTAGGTGGAGGTGAAGTCCAGGTACGCAGCTAGTCTCCCCTCTCACAGTCGCCCCTTTCACTGCAGGTGTTCTGGGATTCTCCTGCCCCACCTTCCCACCCTACCCCAACCTGGCAGTTGAGACTCTTCACCAGTGAGGATAGCAATTTAGGCTGTCCACCTGGCCTTCTAGAAAGTGTGGGAACCTGTCATCAGCTTTTTGTGGTGTTTCGCTGAAGCAGAGCAGTTATCCAGGTATTTTCTGCCTTGCTCGGCTATCCCCTTCCTAATTTTTTTGATTAGAGAAAGTGGGCTTTAGGGGCGCTTTTCTGGATCCGCACCTATTGCTGTTTTCAGCTCAACTGTTTTAGCTCCAGTTCTGGGATAAGGGAGAGACACAAAGAAATCCCAGGAGGACAATGCTGTCAGTCCTGAGGTTTTTGGGTCTTAACCTGATGTGCCTTCTCTACTTTTTAGGGTCTTCTTAAGGTCATCTTATACTTTATATATAATGTCAGGCACTTCAGTCGTGCTCAGTGAGAGAAATAGAGAAAGGTATCACTACTACTTCCTCCCAGATCTGAAGTCCTCAACTTTGCTTATTATCAGCATTTTCTGTTTTGATACATGGACATTAACATGTTTTACCTCTCCGATGACTGAGAGAAACCAGGAGAATTTGGGTAGCATATTCCCACACTCCTTTTCTACTTCAGTGTGAGGCAGTTCAGTAACATGGTCAGTTTGATAGCAAAGGTAGAAATTTCTTTGTGATTTCATATCATATTCTTTGAAAATTAGCGATGTTTAACTATCTCTAGGTTTTATTGTAAATAACAATTAATTCATTGGGTACTTTCTTGTGCCTGTTGATAGTCTTTGCTCATTCTCTGTATTTCTCCCTGGGAGGGCCTTGAGACCTGCCCTAAGGAAGCTCAAACCTGAAAACTTCATTCCTGACATAGGACTCTCACTGGAAAAATAAAGTCAGATCCACTAACAACCATACTTGAGAATTAGGGGCAGCTGGCACTCTGCAGGCCGGCCTGGTCCCAGCTCTCTGTTGGTAGGGATGACTGTCACTCCCTGTGCTAGCCTGCCCATAGCTGTCCATCATTAGGGATGGTTGTCACTGCACAAGCTGGCGGTGGTCTTAGCTATTGGTAGCAAGTATGTGATTGCTCTTTACATTCCCAATTTAGCAAAATATAAAGGAAAATTCAATTTTACAAATAAACTATTCAATTTTGTTCTCTTTTCCAGGCAAAAACTTATTATCCCAAATGGAAGTTGTCCTGTTATTCTGAATACTTACTTTTGTCAGAAATTTGTTGCCAAAGAAGATCCAGAAACAACTCAGAAAGTGTACTGTCGGGATACACCCCTTCCAAGAAGAAACATCACTTTGGCTTGGAGGTTTAGAATTAAGGATGTAACAGATAATTCACCTGAAATCCAGGTAAAGTCTCATTGGCTGAGAGGTTTTATGCTTTCAGTAATATTTGAGACTGGATTTGAAAGGACTTAGGTGTGAGGATGTTCATTTTTGGACCTCCTCCAAAAATATATGCTGGAGCTTCTTATTATTGTTATCCCTGAAAACACTGTAGTTCAGATCAGCATTTAGCTGTGCCCTTTTTATCTTCCTAATTATGTATTTTTTATCTTTATTCTAATTTAGTAAAGTATATGAAAATATTTTCTGTGTACACGTCTTACAACTAAGACACTTAAACCCATCTTTATTTAAAAAAAAAAAAACAACTTTTTCTTTTCCATACTATATATATCCCTTGAGAGATAAAGAATTGCACAAACTGGTGATTGTACACTAGAGATTGATTTTTGGAATTTTTATGGCCTTGATCCATGATCATTTGCCAGGATGAATTTTGGGAACCACTAAAATTCACTGGCAGTGGGCTACAGGAATCATCACAAAAAAAAAAGGTGGAATTGACATATTGAGGAAGGTAAAATTATATAAACTCACAAACTTTTATCCTGTTTTTGTTTGGTTGGTTTGCTTTGTTTTCAGTACTAGGGATTGAACAGTACTAGAGTGCTCAGCTATATCCCCAGCCCTTTTTATTTTGAGACAGACTCTTGCTAGATGGCCCAGGCTGACATCCTACTTACAGTCCACCTGCCAAGTAGCTGAGACATCAGGGGTATACCATTGCATCCGGCTACCCTGTTCTATGCCATATAGCCAAGCAAAAATCTCCAGTGACTATTTGAAGAAGTTTCTTGAGGGGATTATTGAAAAAGAGGGCTCTCTAATTGATTTAGTTATAACATTTAAAATATGGCTGAGTGTGCATTTTTAAACAGCCATGCAATGTGAAATTTTTTTTTTTTTTTTGGTTTTTCTCTGGTACCGGGAACCGAACTCACGACCTTGCCAGGCAGGCGCTTTTGCCGCTGAGCTAAATCCCCAGCCCCTGCAATGTGAAATTGATGAGGTATACTTTTGACTCATAACATTTTCAGTGAAGCTTCTGTTGTAGCATAATGGTTGAAAATATGGTGTTTGGCACCATAAGCCATGGTTCAAATCTTGCCTCAGCCATTTTATGCTGGGTGACCCTGGGCAGTCTCTGTATCTCAATTTTCCCAATAATATGGGGATAACGATATTACATCCCAGAATAGAGCCTGGAAGACAGAAAGCATTTTAGAACTATTGTCTTAACAGTAGTTGATGTTATTGCATAGGGTAGTTTGGAGAATACATGAAAATGCAAAACACTTAGCCTAATAGATGCATATATGAGTACTAAATAAAATGCTTCATTTTTATTATACCCTCTCATTCTTTCATTTGGTATTTTACTTTGTCCTATTAAATTTGTCCCCTCAAAAAGAAAAAAAAAATGTAATGTTTGCTTTCCATAAAGTATTTGATAGCAGAACTGTCCAAGCTGGGATTCCATTGGTAGGAAGCGTTCTGCTGTCCACATTGCTGTCTCCTACCTGTCCCTCCTCGGCAGGCTGGGTACCTGGCAGAAATGGAGCCTCCCAATACACAGTCATTGCTTTTTTCTTCACCATTCCTTCAGTTCAGTGAAGATCCTTTGGATAACTTGGTGGGTGGCATGATATATTGTAGGCCAAACTGAAACAGCTCCCTTTGCATGTCTTGACCAGGTTTTACATAGTGGCCTGGTCACCACAAGTACAAGCTGGACCCATGGGCACGAAGAGGCAAAGCAGCACCTCACAATTGGCACTTCCTCAAAGGATTCTCTCCTGGATGTGGTAGAAAGCCAGGGAGCTGCCCCATATTCAGAAGTGAGGGTTCAAGTGGTGGTGCAGAGAGTTTATTTCCTTCCTGGTAGAGACAGCACCAGAGGCCAGCAGAGGAGCACCTCAGGGCATGAAGACCAACCTGGAACCCGGTGAGTGGCAAAATGTACACATGGAGGGGGAAGGTTACCCAGACAGAAGGCTGGAGAAAGAAGAGATCTGCCTGGTGCAGTTGCTAGGCTGCATTTACTAAATCCATCGGTTGTTTTTCTATAACTTTGTCTTGTATTAACATTTGGAACACATAGTATGATAAAGGATTTTATCTACTTATTTACATAAAAAGCCCTACTAAAAATTGAAATTGTTGCATTTACTTTTAATGGCCCATGTTATTAAAAGTAATGAAAATATAAGAAATATTGGTATTGTTCTGGAAAACAAGCAAGGTTACCATACTAAAAAGACCCCTACATCATCAACTTTCCTGTATGCCTTAAAAGACTGAGAAAGTGATTCCAGTTAGCGGTCAGAGAGTACTGCTTCAAACAGTGTGCATTGGAGATGGTTAATAGGACTTCTGACAGTAATGTGAATGTTACATATCTGCATTATCCAAGGAAGTAGCCTCTGATCACATGTAGTTATTGTTCAGTTAACTTGTGGCTAATGTGACTATGGAACTAAATTTACATTTTTATTTAATTTCAGTTAACTTTCTTTTACACTTCCTATAGTGGACAGCACAGCTAGATGGCTACATGAACAAAGGCCAAACCACGATTCAAAGTGCTTTTCTCAGATGAGTGTGGGAAGGATGTCTTTTCTACCCAGATTTAGGCTCTTCCTGGTTTTGTGTTTTTTCAGATACCTGAAAACCCCTCACTGACTGAGCAATGTATTTTTTAAAATATTTATTAGTACGTGTTTGCAGTACCTAATGATTACATTCATGGTGCTGGTGCATAACACATCTTATTCTTCTTACCTCCTGTTGCCCTCCCTACATCTCTTGGTCCCCTTACCCTTTGCAAAAGATCTGTCTCCCCATTTCCTATTATCTTTCATTTTGCTCTTTTTTTTTTTTTTGGTTTTTTTCCGGTACTGGGAATCGAACTCATGACCTCGTGCTTGCCATATTTTGCTCTTTAAATTACGTATGCTTTGGGTTTTCTCATGTAAGAGAAACCATATAATATTTAAGTTTGTGTGTCTGATTTATTTTACTTAACATTATTGTCTCAAGCTACATCCATTTCCTTACTCAAATTTTTTGTTGTTCTTTAAGGTAGAGTCTTATTCCATTGTATGTAAATACCGCATTTTCTTTATCCATTCATCTGTTGGTGGATATATAGGCTGCTTCCAAGATTTAGTTATTATAAGTGGTGTTACTGTGTACATGGGTATGCTTGTATCACTGTAGTATGATGTCTTTAACTCTTTCCTAGAAAAGGAATATCTGGATCAAGTAGAATTTCTAGTTTTAGTTTCTTGAGGAATCTTCATGCTATTTTCAAAATGGCTGTACCAGTTTACACTCCTACAAGTAATACAGAAGGATTCCCTTTTTTCCCCCACAGTCTCACCAGCATTTGTTATTGCAGATATTCCTTGTTTAACAACCTACCTGTATCACGACTCTTCAGACTTACAACCAAGACACACTGTTCAGAATTATAACCCATCTTTTTTGTATGGTTCTGTACATCTTGTTTATAGAGCCTCAATGTCTTTTTATTACAAGTACACCTTTTATTATAGTATACCTTTTTATTACGATAGTGTAGTTTTTCTGATTGTACAATATAGAACTGTAGTTTTTTGTTCTGTTCTGTTTTGTTCTGTTATAGCATGTAAGTGCTATGCAAATAAAAGCAAAGGCATCAGTTTGGAATTTACTTTGACCATTTCTTTGTTCTGAACATTGTAATGTACACACTATGTACAGTTCCTCATTTAGTGACCAAGTCACTTAATGACCCAGTCACAGGAGCAGACCTCAGTTCTTAAACGAGGAATGTCTTTTTTGATTTCCTTATGATAACCATTCTTTTTCGGTTAGGACAGAATCTCAGTGTTGTTTTAATTTGCATTTCTCTAATTTCCAGAAATGCTGAACATTTTTTCATGCATTTATTGGCCATTTGTACTTCTGAGAAGTGTCTGTTCCAATCAGTTGCCCATTTTTTGATTGAATCTTTTATTTTGGGAAGGTCTAATTTTGTATGTTCTTCATATGTTCTAGGTGATAGTCTTCTGTCCAAGGAATAGCTGACAGAATTCTTTTTTCCCATTTTGTGGGTGTCCCTTCACTCCATTAGTTGTTTTCTTTGCTGAAAAAAGTTTTTAATTTTATGTAATCCTATTTGTTCATTTTGATGTTATGTCTTGTGCAATTGGGGTTCTGTTCAGAAAGTCCTTGCCTATGATTTCAAGAGTTTTACTTATTTTTTCCAGCAGATTAATGATTTAGATCTTTGATCCATTTTGATTTTTCTTAGTACATGGTGAGAGGTATGGTGCTAGATTTAATCTTCTACATGCATATAGCCACTTTTCCTAGCACAGTTCGTTAAAATGGTTAATTTTTCTCCAGCATATGTTTTTGGCACCTTAGATAGTTGAATGTGCCTGGGATGGTTTCAGAATCTTCTATTCCATTGGTCTACATGTCTGTTTTTGTATCAGTACCATGCTATTTTTATCACTGTAGCTTTGTCATGTAACTTGAAGTCTGGGATTGTGATGCCTCTTGCTTTGCTCTTGTTGCGCAGATTGGCTTTTGCTATTCTGGGTCTCTTCTGGTTTAATATAAATTATAGGACTTTTTTTTTCTAGTTCTCCAAGGAATGCTGTTGATATTTTGTTTGATATTGTATCAAATCTATATATTAATTTCACTAGTATGGTCATTTTGGCAATATTGGTTCTACCTATTTAAGAATAGAGAATATGCATCTATTTTCTGATGTCCTTGTTGATCTCCTTTTCTTAAGTACTATAGTCTTCATTATAGAGGTCTTTCACGTCCTTGGTTAGATTAATCCCTAAATATGTGCTTTTCTTGAAGTTGTTGTAAATGGTATCCTTTTCCTAATTTCTTTCTAGGTGGATTCATTGTTATTATATAGGAATGTCATTAATTTGTGTGTGTTGATTTTCTATCCTGCTAACTTGTTGAATTTGTGTATTAGTTCTAGTAGTATTTTGGTGGAATTTTTTGAGTCTTCTATCCAAAGATCATATTTTCTGCAAATAAGGATAGTTTGACTTTTTCCTTTTCTATACATATGCCTTTTATTTCTTTCTCTTGCCTGATTGCTCTGGTAAAGTTTTGAGCACTATATTGAGCAGGTGTGGTCATAGTGTATATCCTGGTCTTGTCCCTTATTTTAATAGGAAAGTTTTCTTCATTTAATATGATGTTGGCTGGAGGTTTGTCATAAATGTCCTTTATCAGAAAGAGATAAGGTCCTTCTATACATAGTTTCTTCAAAATTTTTACCATGCACAAATGTTGGATTTTATCAGTTGTTTTTTCTGCATCTGTTAAGATGGTCATGGGACTTTTGTCCTTCTGTTTATGTTATGTGTTATATCTACTGATTTGCATATGTTGAATTGTCCTTGCATTCCTGGGAAGAAGCCTATCTGGTCATGATATGTGTTCTTTTTAATGATTTCTTGCATTTTGTTTGCCAGTGTCTTGTTGAAGATGTTTGCATCTGTGTTCATTAAAGAGGTTGGCCTATAGTGTTCTTTTCTTAGTTAAGTTGTTACCTGGTTTTGGAATCAAGATAGTGCTGGCTTCCAAGAATGAATTTTGGAATACTCCTTCCCTTAGTTTCAATAGGGTTTGAGGAGTATTGATACTAGCTCTTCTCTGAAATTCTTGTAGATGTCAGTAGTGAATACATTAGGACCTGGACTTCTTATGGTTGGTAGATTTTTTTTAAGTTGTTGCTTCAATTTCATTGCCTATTATTAGGTTATTCAGTTTTTATATCTTCTCAATTCAATTTTAGTAACTCATGTTATCTAGGCATCTCTCAATTTCTTCTGGATTCCCAAGTTTATAGGAATACATGTTTGTGAAATAGATACTTATAATCTTCTAGATATTGGGGACCTCAATTGTGACTTGAGTATGTCCTTAGGTTATTTATTTGGGTGCTATTTTTCTTTCTTTCTTTCTTTCTTTCTTTTTTTTTGTCTTTTTGAGACAAGGTCTCACTATGCAGTTCAGGCTGGCTTTGAGCTCACTTTGTAGCCCAGGCTGGTCTCGAACTCACAACAATCCTCCTGCCTCAGCCTCCTGAGTGTTGGGATTACAGGCGTGAGCCACCATGCCCAGCTTGGGTGCTTCTAATGTAAGCATTCACAGCAATAAACTTCCATTTTAGGAAAGCTTGCATTGTGTCCCATAGGTTTTGCTATGTACTGCCATTATTATTTTATTCTAGTAACTATTTTTAAATTTTTCCTTGATTTCTTCTGTGACCCATTTACTATTGAACAGTGTGTTATTTTATCTGCAAGTGTGTTCAAAATTTCTGTGGCTTATTTTACCATTGCTTTCTAGTTTGAGTACACTGTGATCTGACAATATACACAAGATATATACTGGTATTCAAAGCATAAATATTTATAATTGTTATCTTTTCCTGTTTAATTATTTCCCTTAGCTAATATGTATTGACCTTCTTTGCCTCTTTTAATCAGTTTTGGCTGACGTCTACTTCGTAGAAAAGTAGAATAGCTGTTCCTGCTTCCTTTTGGCGTCCTACTGCATGGAATCTTGTTTTCTATCTTTTGAGCCTGGAATTTTTGGATCAAATGTGTCTCTTGTACGCAGCATACTGTTGAGTTTTGGTTTTTAATTAAGCCTGCCTATCTGTGTCTTTTGGTGGAGAAATTGAGACCATTCACATTATTCTACTGAAAAGTGTTGATGTATTCCCGTCATTGTGTTTTCTTCTTGTTGATTCCTTTTCTCCGCTTCTGTTTAACAACTCATTGTAACCAATGTATTCATTCCACTTTTTGGCATTATTAGCTTCTTTGTCTCTATCTAGGATATCTTTCAGAATTTTTTGGAGTGCTGGTTTGATGTTTATGAATTTCTTAAAGTGCTCTTTGTCATGGAAAG